CCCTCCCCCGGCAGCAGCTGCTGGGCAGAGCAGGACCCACAGATGCGGAATTTGCTGAAGCTGCTGATGGATCTGGGCAGCTGGTGCTCTTCCAAGGACTCTGCTTGTTTCTGGTCAAAGCAGCATCTGCTGAAGCTCAGAGGGCGAAGATTTTGAAGGGCACCCTCCTTCCCCGGTGCGCGACTCTGCTGCGTCCGGGTGAAATCGCCCTCGGGTTTCTCTTGGTGGGCAAATAAATGAGAGTTGGGTGGCTTCTTGGACTTTGCAAATCTTAATGGGAAGGTAACGCTGTCCTTTGCTGAATATTCATGAGGAACTAATTTGTGCTCATGTTTCCTGGGATGGTGGGATCCGCTGCCGGCATAGCCATCGCCCTGAGGTGCCAGGAGCCAGCAGCAGGAGAGGTGCGATGGGCAGCGCTGCGGTGGCGCCGCTGCTCTCGGTGCAGCCGTGTTTCACTGCGCCCCTGTGGCCTCGGGGTTGGTGACTCCTTTGCAGAAACGAAAACAAGCCCAGGGTGCTCTGTGCCAGACGTGGCATCCAATGGCACAGACAGCCCGGAGTGGGACCTTACAGATGCGGCAATTCTGCTTCCCGAACACTTTTGCTTCTCTGGGTTCAAATTTACTTATCAGGGCTGTTAGTCACGAGGGTGGCGTTTTGTTTTGACAGCCCTTCCTGGCTCCGCTCTCAGCTGCAGTGCTGCTGAAATCAGGTTTCACCCTCGGAGGACTCTCCGCTGCTCTGGATTTGATGTGAATCTCTGTATTCTGAGGCACGGATTGGCTGGCGCAGTTACAGCATCCCTGGTGTTGCAGAGGATGATAACACAAAATACACGTCCCTTCAAAGATCTCATCATCACAGGGTCTCTGGAGGGCACTGGGTGTGATTACTGGGTAGAGGTTTGCTGGTCTCAGCCTGCCCTGCTGCAGACAGGGGTGTTCGAGCTGGCGCCGCGGTGTTTTTCCGTAGGAATTGTGCTTTCGCAATAGTGATGTGCATGGAGGAGGGAAGCAGGGCTCCCTGCGGGGTGGGAAATCCCTTTCGTAGGAAGGCAGCTGGCAGCGGTGCGTGTCCGCCCGTCATCTGAGGTGCCCCTCAGAAGCCAGGGCCATGCTGATGACGAGTTGCTCCTCCTGCAAAGGCTGAGATGGCTCCTGCCGGGAACGGGGGGGTCTTTGCCGGGCACCCACGATGGGTGACCTGGGGAGCTGTGCAAGTTTTGTGTGCTCCAGTAAACAACCTACGAGTGTCTCCCTGTCCGTGCCCACCAACAAATAACCTTGCTTCTTCCAGAGGCAGTACGGCCGCCAAGAAGAAAGCAGAGGGTTGGGCAGGGGCTGGCTGTGCGGAGCCGCAGTACCAGGGTGGGAGCCCCAGGCACCCCGCTGTGCGGGGCACCCCTTAGACTCTGCAGTCCCTGCAAGCGGAATGGGGAAGCAGAACTTCATGGCAGGAGAGCCGACTAAAGAAAGAGAAAGGACTTTATTTAGGAAACACCGCTTCAAACTTTGCCGTCACTACTGAGCCCATGAGGAAAATAGCTGATGTCCACCAGCCCGCAGAGCCCATCTGCTCTGGCTCGTGGAGGCGTTGGGGTGTGTTTGTGCATTTGTGAATTTCTGAATTTCTGAACGGGGACAAAAGAACAGTGTTTCAGGGCTTTTAGGAGAGAATTGTTGAAAGATACCATCAATTCCACAGGAGGTGGGGATTTCCTAACTCTGCTTTCCACTTTCTTGAGCTTTTGAAAACTAGACAGAGGACTTGGGCACCTTGTACGTACCCTGTGGTATGTACACGCTGGTCCTCAGCAGCTTGGACCTGGCACTGAGGCTGCTGCCTGGCTGGAATTTCTTTATTTCAGCAATACAACTGCCTTTCAGCAGTCACTGATGGCTCAGTTACCATCTGACGTGGGGATGTGTCAACCTGGTTTGTACTCATGGTTATTTCTTGATCGCCACAGTCCTCTGCGGTTTCATGGTCATTGTAAGGCGTAAGCAAACAGGCAGGTGCTCCGCTCAGCTCCTCTCTGCCTTCTCTCTGGGCTTCATTCTCAAATGTCTCCTTCTGTTCTTGTTCTAGACATTTACCCTTTCAGGTTTGCCAGTGCAAACAACTCTTTGTTACAGTGATTTCTTCACAAAGTCTTTTTTTTCTTAACAAATCAGTCCCCACTCCGTGTTGGCGTGCCTGAGGTCGGCACGTTCGAGGTGTGCGGGAGGTGGGTAAGAGCCAGACCGTGCAGGAGGCCAAGTCTCCACGTTGTTTGTTGTAAACCAGCTACGTCTGAGGCAGCGTTCCTGCCCCTGCGTACGCCGTGGCTGCGAGGTTTGTCATCTCTTTCTTTGCCCCCTGCGAACAGAGGCCGTGACTTCCCTCCCGCGTATCGCCCCTCTTGCCTTGTGCTTTCCTTCTAAGACTTCTTAGAAACATGTGATAAAAGCTTCAGAACAGCAAACTGCCAAACTCCTGACAAATCTGTTCTTATCCTGGACATGTGTTTGACGTGGAAGTATTTGCCCAGTTGTTTTGAACCGTGTGAACAGCACGATAGCAAGTGGGGGACGGATTTTTGGTGCATTAGTGTGTCTCGAGTTTACGCGACATCGAAGAGATCGAGAGGGGAGCAGTGCCCCGTCGGTGGGGCGTTTGCCACAATGCTGACACGACACGATGCTTCAGGTGCCTCTGCCACGCAGTATTGCCAGAGCTTGGTCTTGAGGTGTGACTAAATCCTGTGTAGGCAACGGACTGTGGAATGGAAAGCGCAAATGGAAAGTCGCCTCCTCTTCTGGTTGGGTTGACCAGAATTTTTCCATGGGAATACTGAATTGCGCAAAAGATCTTGGCATTGTTGCGTGTTCTTATCTGGAAAACACCAGTAACTGGTTCTACTTCAACTCTTGCATCTACAGGAAAGAAAGAAAAAGTTTGAGAAGGATGGTGAGAAGTTTTATTCTATGCTGGATCGCCATTTGCATTTATCCTCCAAAAAGAAGGAATCCCAATTACAGGAGGTGCGTATGGGGTTTTCTTCAGTTGGGTCCAGACCCAATGCCACCAGCTGCTCTAGGCCTTAAAAAAGGGGGAGAAATTGTCCCTTTCAGTAACCAGCTGAAATTGATAAGCAGTTGAAGCTGCCTAAAGCGTACTCACAGGGATGAGACCAGGGATGTCGAGGTGGTCGTTCACCATGAAGTGTCAAGCAGCAATAATGGCTTTATGCATTGTCATTGCTTGTTCTCACCCCTCTAGTATCAGGCAGTGACCAGTTGTACTGGCACAGCTGGGGACTGGCCACCCTTTGAACTGGCTTGGGGAACTGATCTGGCTGATAAATAACTGGTGATGATTATTTTTGCCAGCCTGGTTTCTTGCCCAGCTCCGGGTGTTCGCAGGGGTGGCTGTGGCAGCAGGCCCCCAGTGCAGTGAGCAGGAGGCAGAGGAGGGATGGTGCTCCGTTGAGCTGATGCTGCCACCAAACGTGTTGCAACAAGAAAAGAGAACCCCAGCTGTTCCAGCCCACATCAGAGCAGTCAGATCAAATCAGATCTGTCAAACCAGTTGTCAGATCAACCTAAAAGCATCTTTGCAAGGCAAAGTTTGTGTAAGCTGTGGTACATGGCATGCCACGTTGTCCTACCTGGTGCTGCAGCTCTGGAATTGCTGGTTTTGGGTCACAGCAGGAGTCAGGCGAGAGGATCATTGTCCTCACTGGTGCAGGGCTGTGAGTGGAGGAGGGTCTCGTGTTAAAATAACAAATACGCTTCAGGAAAGCCTTGTCCTGCAGAGGGGAGTGAGGTTCTGGATCCATAAATAAAGGGAGCAGACCCAAGAAGAAGGTTCTGTGCACAGTGTTCCAGACCTGGGCGGGACACCTTTGGCAGGCTGCTTCTTACGTGAGGACAGAACTATTTGCGGGCTGACAGGCAAACGCTAGTCAGATGTTATCAATCTAGATGTGATGTGTGTTCCTTTCTCACCTCTTCCTCTTTCTTCCAGGCGGACCTTCAGGTTGACAGAGAGAGACACAATTTCTTCGAGTCCTCCCTCGAGTATGTGTACCAGATCCAGGAAGTACAAGAAAGCAAGAAATTCAGTATTGTTGAACCGGTAGGAGCTTCCTTTCCTTCCAGGCCCTGTTGTTTGATGCTCAGCTCTGCTGACAGTCACGGGAAGGGATGAGTTACCAGGCTGGATTCGGTCCTGGGAAGTCTGGTGATGGAGCAGGAGTTAACCTGGCACACTTGGAATGCTGCAGCTTAACAGCCTTAGTGGTGTTTGCTGGAGCACCGTGAAGCCACAGACTTGTTTCTCCTGTCTGTGAGTCGATCCTGAGGAACAGGCTGGGTGCTGTGGGTAGACAGAGGTCTTGTTACGAATTATCTTGGACACCTTGTGTTTGGTAAGCGTTAGCTGTCTTCAGAGGGAGGGAGCTGTTATCTGGTCCGCTTACCCGTTGTGGCACAGGCTGCAGTGGCAGCAGCTCGTGGCTGTGGACAGGGACCCTGCCCTGGGTGGGTGGCCCTGCCCTGGGTGGGTGGCTCTGCCCTGGCGCCGGACGCGGTGGAGCGTGGGATCGTGCAGGTCTCATGGATGAGTGATCTGCAGATCCGCTCTTGTTCTCCCAGAAGGGTCTTTCGTTTCGGGTGTGTTTTATTAAGATAGGTGTGTGGGTGGTAGACCTGGGCTTTAGGGACAGCGTGGTGGATAAGTCATACTAAAACTTGCATCGCTCCAAAATTGTAAGGAAAAGGATACATTTTTGTGTGTAATTCCTGAAGCTCTCTTTCCTGACTATCTTTCCTCTGATTAGAAACATAGAAGAGAGGTTTAATCTGTGTCCTCTCCCTCCTTTGCAGGTGCTGGCTTTTCTCCACAGCCTCTTCACTTACAACAACCTGACAGTTGAGCTCACGCAGGATTTCCTCCCGTACAAACAGCAGCTTCAGCTCAGCCTGCAGAATGTGAGTTCCTGCCCAGCTGAAGTATTTTTTGCATGTGACTTCTATTCTCTTTTGTATTTAAACGCCTCTGGTGGCAAGACTTTTCCATGCAAAACAGACTGTCCATGTTTACATTGTGGGAGGTGTAGATAAAGTTATTTCCTTCTCATGTATGTTTTCTCCTCTCCTGCACCGGAGAGCCTGCAGGTGCTGTTACAGTGTTTTTCTCTGTCTGGAAGGGGCTATTGCAATTGTGCCATTTAACCTTGTGCATAAACAAACCTGAGAACTTCTGATTTCATGAGATCAAAACTGTACACGTCTTCTAAAAAGGCCTCCAATCTTGACCCTAACGGTATGGGCTTGCTACGTGCTTTGGTGAGCTCCTCTGCTGGCTAAGTGTGCTCAGGGGTGAAATACCCGTGTCCTGTGTCTTTTATCCTCAGTCTTTCATGGCTGGCCCTCGTTCCCGTGCAACACCAGCCGTAAATCCGTGCCAAGCTGAGTTTGCTGCTGACTCATTAGTTGGTCTAAGAGGTGTTCCACAGAAATGCCTTGATTTTGTACCTGTGCTGGCGTGCCTCGTTAAGAATGATTTCACGCCAAGCAGCGTGGCATGAGGAATCAACACCCATGTCTGTAGAATACACCTGTTACCTGAACAATGGTGCAAAGAGAAGTTCAGGTGCTTCCTTCTGCTCCACCTAGCCTTAACGTGCTTTTACTGAAAACAAGTGTCCTCCCAGCCATGACTGCTCAACCCCATTTCCGTTCACGTTGTGTTAAGCCTTGTCTCTTCAGTCATTTCTTAAGAGCCCCGCGTAGCCGGAGTTTTCACCTGAATTTGTGGAGTGGCTTACATGTTTTGTACATGAGGGACAGATTCGTTTCTGCCAGAGCACCTCAAACTTGACCAGGGATACCCGAGCTTGCTCTTCGCTCATGTTCAAATGTGCATCTTTTTGTTTTCTCTTCCCAGACAAGGAATCATTTTTCCAGCACGCGGGAGGAGCTGGAGGACCTGAAGAAGAGGATGAAGGAAGCCCCCCTAACCTGCAAGCTACCCGGGCAGCCGACCATTGAGGGCTATCTGTACACTCAGGAGAAATGTAATGGCTTTTACGTGCACCTGAATGCGTTAAGGAACGTGTGAGCCCGGGCTGCCCGGCTCCCAGCCCCACCGCGTGGGCTGCGCTGGGCTCCCGTGCCCAGGCCAGCATTAGCCGCAGCGCTGCTGCGGGCTGTGCCACCACGTGCCCAGGGAATCACTGCAGCTTTAGCTGCCAGCTTTCTCAGCAGTGGCACGGAGCTTTCTCCGGGTTCCATGAGCCATGTAAGCAAGGAACTAATTGCCCTGCACTCAAATTAGCTGAGATTTATTGCTCGTTGTGGCGCTGGAGAGACCGGAGTTCTGGCAGGTCGCACCTTGGCTGCGTTTTATCAGAACAAATCTGGTGTCCTGCCCAACTTCCCTCTCGCAGCCTCTCTGAGGGCATCTGAGCACAGCTGAAGTGTTACCCAGCAGTGAGGGTTAAGCTGCTGGGAGCTTGTTGTGAGTCTGTGCGGAGCCAAATCAAACCAAATTCAGCCTTTTACAAACGCTCGCTGTAGCTGTGCGGGGCCAGGCAGGCGTGAGCACTCAGGGGACAGAAGCCTCTGTGCAGAGCTGCGGCCTCTGAGCCTACAGGCAGCTTACTTTGAGCGCAGTTAATTTTTGGATTATATAGGCAAATGTATTTATACATCTATTTGTATGTGCGTTTTTCCTGCTTTTAAAAGAAAACACATAGACAGTAATTTTAGACCACAAACAAAATCTGCCTGTTCCTGCATGCCAGTGACTGTTTACTGCCTCAATTTATGTTTGCCCCATAAATTGAGTGTGAAGAGAGTTGCTCCTCCTGACACTGCAACTTAAAAAAAAATCACAGAAAAAATATCAGTTGAAATATTTCATGTGAAGGGGTTCAGGTAAGGCAGAAAAGTGACAATAAATCTAGCGTGATATAAATGGGAACTTTAGAGTGTTTTAAAGATGCTGTTGTCTTTACTGCCAAGTTCTCATCAACAGGAAAAAATAGTAGAGTCTGTATGAAACAAGCGTTCCAGGCACGTAGGGTCCTGCCAGTATAGGTCTTGGCCAGCCCAGCTTGGCTCGTGACCAGAGACCCACAAACACCCTTTCACCAGCAGCGTTTCGGGAGGGGACTAGAGGTGGCTGCCACCCTGTGCTCCTCTCATCTCCTCCTGCTCCTCCTGGCTCTTGCCAGCAGAGATGCTGGTGAGGGAGGTGTCCTCACGGGGCCAGTGGTGTCCGTCTCCAGAGACTGTGGACACGTGGGCAATGCTGGCCGTGCCCCACTGGCTGCGACCAGCCAAGGTGCCCCCTCTGACCCCAGCTTCCCATGTGTTTCTGCAGGGGCACTGGGCATCTCCTGGGTGAAGTATTATTGCCAGTACGAAAAAGAGGCAAAAACCTTACGGATGACGCCCATGGACCAAAAGCCTGGAGCTAAGCAAGTGAGTTGGTTTCTTGGAGGGATGTCTGCAAACATTGACTCAGCCATCAGGTCTCACCTTCCATCTGTCTGCGTCATCTCTTTCCGTAAGCAAACAGACATACAAGTGCCACGTCCAGGGCCGCAGAGGCCGCCCCGCGCAGTCATCCGGCAGCACCGCTCCTCAGGCACACGGGCAGCGGGCTGGTCCCAGCGCTGCGGCTGCGGAAGGGCTCCTGGCCGTGGGGCGGTCGTGGCCCCCCTGCCCGGTGGCACGGGCGGGGGGTTCGGTGTGACCTGGAGGAAGCACGTCCGAAGGGAAGGCTCACCCCCGAAGCCCTGGGGGTTTGGCCGTGGAGACGTGGGTTCGCGTCCCGTGAGCGTTACTGGGGCAGCGGTGACCTGCGGGTTTGGTCCAGTGTGAAACTTCTGCCTTTCAGACAAGGTGGTTTTCATCTTCACCCGTGCGAACGGGCAGCGAACCCGTGGGCAGCTTTGCTCTGCCTCCGGCAGCGACTGCCGGAGCTCGAATTGCTCCAGTTCTTAGATGAGCCATTCCAAGCGCAGCCATTCCCAGCGCAGCGTTTCTCTGCCTTTGCCCGTTCGCACAGTCACTGGTTTCTGATTTTGATTTCTCTTCTCAGAACTGGTTACGTATGAGTGGGACTGGTGTTAGGAGAGGGCAGCGGCTGCAGCTCTGAACCGCGATAAGGCAACGATTTGTGGAACTGCTGCTTTTACCAAACGCTTTGGTTTTTCCCAGTGTCTGGGAGTTCCCTGCCGTTCCTGCGTGGCAGAGGAGGGGTCGGACGCAGGCGTGGATGACGGAGTGCGGCAAGTGCGTCCAGCTGAGTCCACCCGCCCTCCTCTGCCATGAATCGCCGTCCCTGGGGACTCCCGAGGCAGGCGTGCTGTTCTCCCGGCCGTGATCTCATGGTCTGCTCTTTGGCAGCCCTCTGCACGCTGCAGCAATAAAAAAAGTGCATTTTTTGGAAGCCCATGACAGAGAGCTTGGCAAAGAAACGTCCAGAACATTGACTGGAGACATCTATTGTCATCTCTGCCATAAACACGTCTAGTAAGGGCGATTAGTGCAGGTAGGGGCTTGTAAAAACATACACGAGTCTGCTTCCCAAACTCTTGCAGTCTGGTAATCTGCATCTTCGGGTCACAGCTGGCCACGCAGCTTCAAATGCCACCATTACAAGGAGTGCTTTTAAAAGCCCCAACCAACCAGCACACACGAAACACAGCCAGGAGATGATCATCACGGCATGTAAGCTGGGCCTGATCTCGGAGGAGGCTGTCCTTGCTGCCAGGCTGTCCTGGATCTGCTCGATCCGTGTCTGCCAGAGGTCTTGCAGAGGCAGCGCGGGGACGGTCGGGGCGATGAACGTGTTCCAGGTGTGCAGACTCAGCCCTAGGGTCGGGTCGGTTGTGAGGTCTCCTGGGTGTCTCTTCAAAGGTTCTGCAAAGTCGTGGAGATCTCATGGTCACATCATGGATCGGCTCTGCTGTAGAGTCAGTTAATGCCCCTTGTTAGGGGGCACGAAGGCAAAGGGCCAGAGCTCAGCCCCGCAGTGCCAGCCTTTCATCAGAGGGCATCTACTCTAGAGTTGGGCAGTTAACATTCTTTTTCTACAAGGTATTTTGTGTAAAGCTGTTTGGACCATGAATGCTATGGATAATTGGTAGCGCTGATAAAAATGAGGCCCCAGCCACGTCAGATAACAGACAAGCACGGTCCTGGCTCAAAGACCAAGCGACCACCTCGTGAGGCTTGTTCGTAGCGGCATTCCAGCTCCGCGGAGGCGTGCCGCGTGTTTAGCACTTGTTTGCAGGGTAGAGCCATGAAGTCTAGAACGGTTTGTGGCCGAGGAGGGGAAGCCTGGCTCACAAACTTTCATCTCTGCCTTTGCTGATGGTGGGAAGGACCGTCCAGGTCCTGGTACCAATGCCGACAGATTGGCAGGGCACCCACTGGGAGCCTGGTGCTCCGCGGGCAGTGCTGGGCTGCAGCCGAAGGGTGCTGAGGAACCCGAAATCTTCTGTGTTTCTTTCCTCTGACCTTGGCTTTCATTTTCTCTCCCAGGGCACCTTAGACCTGACACTGAAATCCTGCGTAAGGAGAAAGACTGACTCCATAGACAAAAGGTTTTGCTTTGACATTGAAACTAATGAAAGGTGAGATGCTCCGTGTTCACACGGCCTCCCAACCCTGTGAGCCTGCAGGAGATCGCTCTTTGCTGTTTATTAAACACACCTTTTGCTTCGTTTTCCTGCCTGGCCCTGGACGAACTCGGCGCAGGTCTGGGACCATCACGCTGCAGGCGCTCTCGGAAGCCAACCGGAGGCTGTGGATGGAGGCCATGGACGGGAAGGAGCCGGGGAGTGCCGGGGGAGCTGCCGAGCGGTGTCCGCTGCCGAGCAGTGTCCTCTGCTGGACGCTCCGGCTGCTGGTGCTGGCACCTCGCTGCTGTTGCTTCCCCGTGATTGGGGCACACCCGAGACGGGGCTTCGTGCTGTTTGCTGGGCACAGCTGGCAATGGGCCCTTTGGTGTTCCCCCTTTAAAGCTCTGGTGCGTCCCCCCCTCGTGCCAGCCTGCCCGGGGACCGTGGCCGTGCTGAGGCTGCGACGCTCCGTGTTTCTGCTGCTCACCCCTCGCTCGCCAACCTGCCCCAGGTGGCTTTTTGTCTGTCCCCACTCTGAGCAGCGTTTGGGAAGTCTGGCCCATGGGAGCAGCCCCCCTGCACTGGTGTTTGCCTGCCTTTGTGTGCCTGCTGGGCTTCCCTTCTTCCCTCTGAGCAAAGCCCAGTCCCCTGCGCTCTACCAAAGTCCTCCTAAACGAACAGCACGGTGTGCAGTGCGGGAAAACCCGTCTGTGGGAGCTCCCCTGGCCTTTGGAGAGCTGCCCTTCCCTCGCTGGGCTCATGGGCACCTTCCACAGCGCTTTTCTCTTCCTCGTTTAAAGAGGAAAGGGCATGGGGTGGTGCGGAGGGTCAGTGCGTGTGCTGGAGTCACTTAGGGGATGTCTGGGGCTCACTGGGTTTGCGTGACTTGTTATTGTGTATGAAGGATTTTTGATTTTCCATCAAGAATGGCACCTGCCGTTTGTTATTAATAAAAAAATATAAAATGTATTTTTGTATGAGGTGGAGTGTCTTGGCACTTGAATTTTTAAAAGCAAACAAACAAACAAACAACTGCAACCCCAGTGTGCCAGACTGTCCAGCTGCTGGTTTTACAGAGCACCTACCTGTTTGTTTTTGGGGAGACCTCTTTCCTAGAAATAAGTACTCCAGTGAAATGCAGGAAGTCAGCAAGAACTCATTTATTGTTTAGATAATGGTATCTTGCTTAATTGTAAAACGCATTTCTTCAGGAGATTGTCGTACTGTTTGTGATTGGCTTTGGGTGATGACGGGGTGCTGCATGTTCTTCCGAAAATAAATGTCGAATCACATTGCATTATGTTTTTGTTTCTTCCTCCTCCATTCCCTCTCCTTTTTCAGATCTACCACAGTCCCATCACGAAACAGGAAGAGAGTGAGTCGTTTCTGTTGCTGTTCTTCTGAGCTATCGAAGCTGTCGGGAGGTCAGGCAGTGTTTTTCCTTGCGGATACACTCATCCTCAATTTCTGCTGAATAGGCTGTGGATTCTCTCCGTGGCAGCAGTGTAACTTCTTTCCTTTCCGTCCCAGTGTTTGACACTGAGGCCAGATAAGAATGAGTTGCAAACAGTAGGAGTTATCGTTGCAATGTGCAGTTTTATTTAGCTAGAACGAGTGGGATGCAGAGTTCAGTTTGCGCTTCTAAACCCCAGTAACAGGAGAAAAAAGATCAGTGGGAGATTTTGAGGACATTTCCTTTAGCAAAGATTATTACAGAAAAATAGAGGTGGCATTTATTTCCCTGGAGCTGCCCTCCCACCACCTCGTCCTGTGTCCCCCCTTTCCCAAGCGGAGTGTACCCCACCCACAGCCCCGGGACAGGCTGAGCTGCCGTGGAACACCCTGGGGCTCATTAGCATTCTGTGTCTCAGAGCTTACTTTGATCAGCACTTTAATTAGCTGGCTTTAATGAGCATGGAAGCAGTGTTACCAGAGGCGTAAGCGTGAAACCTGTTGTTTGGCTGGGTTTGCATTACACGCTTGCGAAGAGCGTGACTGTTTCACAAAAGTAAATACGCTCTGGTTGTGATAGATGAGCTAAAAAGGCTGCGAGTGGCATCACACCTCTCGGGATCGAGTACCGAGGGGATCCGTGCTGAAACGTCCCACACCGTTCCTGTGGGACAGCAACAATGCGGCCGAGCTTCTCATCACTGGTGCTCGGAGAAGAGGGAGCCCTTACAGACGGCTCCCTGCAAACACAGCGATTCCATAGGATTCGCCAGCACGGCCTGTGCTGTGAATGGAGTCGGTCCAGATGTGTCCCGTGGCTGTTTGTCCCAGGAAAATGTTCTTTTACATGAAAAAGATAAACAAAAACCCCTACTCCCCCCGAATAACCCACACTAACAACAACATGGTCATTTAGGAGAAATTCGGTATAAACGTTTGCACTGACCAGAAAGATATTTCACGTTATAACTCGGACAATCCTTCCAGATATCCTGGAAAAATTAACAGAAGTAGTAGTGTGGTTACAGAAGTTGAAATACGTGTATAAAAAAAAATCCTGACTTTCTACCCGCTTCATGACGCCTGCGAGGCGGGCACGAAGGACGGCCGTGGTTCCTCGGCTGGAAGGAAACCCGGGGCTCTGCTCCGCTCGGCTGATCAAGCTGTATTGTCTTTGCTTTTTAATTTAGTGAGGTGGGTAAGCAGGAATTACATGATCCTCTGGTGTGGAAGAGCTTCAACTGCAGATTTTGCAGTGCTCTGGAAATGGTTAATCATCTCCTTATCAGACACAAACTCACGTGTGGCAGGACCCTGATTTACACTTTTCTTATTAAAGACAGAAGGAGGGTAGAGGGCAGTGCTGTGACTCAAAATAGACTCAAGGGAAAATGGAGAACATATGGAACTAGTAGCTCCTTGCCAGGATTTAAAGAATGCCAGTGTTTTCGTGGAAGGACATACCCGATGCAGATGCCCGTGTGAACCCGGCTGTGCGCGGGGGCTCTGCAGCTGTGGGTGCTGAGCGGGGTCTGGGGCTGGAGCCTCCCCAGGAGTTTTCCACGGGGAGCCCTGTGCTGGTGCTAACGCTGCTTCCCTTGTTTTTAACAGTGGAGCTGAACGAGGTCGGCTTCAAGTTTGTACGGAAGTGCATCAACGCAGTGGAAACGAAAGGTGAGGAGCTCGCCCTGGCATCGGGAAGGGGCGCCGTCCTGGCGTGGCTTCCCGTGGCCTTGGATTATGTTGTATTTTCTGCAGTACAGTGTCTCAATGAAACGAGACTTTGACTTTTAACAGAAGAACCACTCAGAGGAGTAGAAATCCTGCGCTGTTTGCGATGTCATTGTACCGAATTCTGTTAGGATTGAATTTCCACCTTTTATGCTGTTTTCATTCATCAGTTTCTCACCTTGGCTCTGAGAAAACTTGTTGTTAGGCAGAAGGAGAACGAACAGCTCTGGAAGTCTCCCTGTACTGGAGGGACAGGCAAGGGGTTAACTGGGGTACCGTGTTGTTCAGACCCCTGTTGTTAAAAGGAAGGACAG